GGCTTTGCTCCCGGGCAAACGAGCAAAGCCGCCCAGGCGGCGGCTTTGCTCGGGTGTCCCTGGTCTGCCGGGGGGGTCCAGCGGCTTTGCTGGACCCCCCCACAGCAGACCAGGGAGACTGAGAAAAGCCCCGTTTGTAAGTGTGGATCCGACGTAAGTCGGGGACTGCCTGTATAAGCAACTGAGAGTCTTATAGGATAGGCCACACAATCTTATATATTGAGGGAGCTACCACCTCCATCTATGGATGAATAGATTGTATTAATTTAGTATAGTTCAGTGGTTCTCAAAGTGTGGGCCGTGGACTACTAGTAGTCTGCAAGCATGTTGCAGGTGGGCAGTGGGGTCAGGGCTTGTCCCATGCCCCCATGGCAGGGAGCCTAGACTGGTGCTCCAGCCCTGTGGCCTGCTCCTCTGCTGGTGCGGAGGAGGAGTTTCATGGGCTAGATACAGTTCATGGGGGGAGGAAGCGGCTCTGCATGCTGCTCCCCATCCCTTGGCTGAGGAAATAGCAGTGCAGGAAATCACTCACCTGGAGGCTTTTCCCGCTGCTCCCATTAGCTAGAATCTCAGCCAATGGAAGTAGCAGGGGGTGATGTCTGGTAATGTCAGGAGGCATGTAGCCATGTAAGTGTCCCCCATCTCTTTATGCTCAGACCTGCACCATCACTCCCCTCACGCACACCCAACTGGCCAAGGCCCCGCACCCCATCTCCCTCCTGCACTCCCTCTCCCAGACCTCCCACCTTCCTCCTGCACACTCCCTCCCTCCCATCCATCCCTACCCCCTGGCCACTCCTCCACCCTACCTCCCACCCAGAACCCTACACTCAATCCGCTCCTGCACCCTACATCCCAGCTAGACCCCACATCCCCACCCCCTCCTGCAGCCATTTTGTCATCATGGGTGGATGGATGGCATTCCATGGAAAGGCCTGGATTGAGTCGGGTGGGCCACAGGTCAAAGAGTTTGAGAACCACTGATATAGTTGAAAGTTTTCGCTAGGAAACCAGGATGGACATTGAATAAAAAAACCTATTTTTAGTTTTTTTGTTGAATTTCCTTTTAGCAGCAGTGATATTTAAAGAACAGAGAAAAAATAAATGTCATTTATGATGGTTGGCACAACTGACCTAATCACCTGTTTGGAGTCAGTCTTACTTTCCAGTATAAAATAGTAAAAGAAAAATCAGTTTAATCCAGGTTGGTTTTACCCACTAGCCTCTGAAAGCACCTTCTATGCCATTATAGATGATCCTGTCAAGTTCTACTTAGCTATTTTTAGTTCACTGAGTGCATTACAGTCTAGGCCATTTCCCAGTTTCCTGTGCTCCATACCTGTTTCAAAAAGCTACATGTTTGCTGCTGTCAAGAATATTTTCTGCTGTTGAATATAAATGTGCTAGGATTTCATTGGTGGTATTGTAGAGAGAGCAAAGCTCCCCTTCACAACTTGAGTGCCAAGCTGTGCTATATAAAGAAAAATAAACCTTCAGTGCTTCCTGCTGTCAGTTGAGGAAAACATTTAGCTAGTTAAATGAAAAGACTAGCCAGGATCTTAGAATAGAGAGTGTCATACAGCTTGTAACAGTATTGTCCTTAAAAGTCTTTAAAACTGTGGGCTATTTAAGTGGAAATCTCTCTCTGTTTCACGCAATGCAGAATATAGTCAGTAAAATAAGGGTGTGTTGAATAGTGCAGATAAATTAATTTACCTTCCCCCTTTTCTCTTCCTTTCTAGCCAGTCATGGGAAAAAAATCACAACCAATGCACTTCTGCTGCCTCCATACCAATCCTGCTACCATTGAAGTAAACTACAGAACTCCCATGGATTTTATCGAAGAAGGATTAATGTTAGGCATTAAATAGATAAGCACAAAGGAGAACTGAGAAGCTTGCTGGTTGCAAGCTGTAAACTGTTGCGTCCATAAGAATGTTTCCAATCGCTTCAGTCTTGCATACAAATACTGTTTAGTCTAGAGAAATAATCCAATACATTTAGGAATCTATGGAATTGATTCGCTTTTAGCTTCATTTGTATCTTCTGTCCAAGACATTGCAAAACTATTATCATTTACATAGATTAAAGTTGTTTCACATTCCCCCTGGTCTGCTTACACAAGAGGGTTCCAAAAAGAAAGTTCCTGTAAAACAAAAATTTCTGAAGCAGCCTTAATTATGGTCCCACTGCTGTGAGTCCAGAACTTATTTCACTGCTGTTGAGATTTCTTAGCTGGGTCTGTATGGATAAACTGGAAGACAAGGAGTTCCTTTTCCCTCTGCGTACCTGTGTGCAAGTCAGCCATAATTTATCACAGACTGCTGGAGAGGGCCTTTTTGCACAGATGGCAGGGTAATGATCCCAGGCCTCAGCAGTGGCAAGAATTTTCTAACATGTACAGCATGACTCTAGTGCTTTGTACTGGCCAATAATGTCACCTTAAGGCAAAGATGGGCAATCATTTTTGACAGGGGGCTCAGTCACGCAAATAATTTGGAAAGTGGTTGATGGCTGCACTTTTCCATATTATTAATGGAGGAAGTGTGGGGTCTGGGATGGGGGTTAAGTGCAGAAGGGAGCTTGGGGTAAGGGAAGAAGTTTGGGTGAAGGGAGGCATTTGTGAATTGGGGCACTGGGTTGGGGAGCAGGGAACTGGGATACAGGAGGGGGTGCAGGGTTTGGGTTATGAGCTTTGGCAGGAGGGGACTTTGATTTGGGTCAGAGGATTGAGGTGCCAAATCTGGGAGGAGGTATGGATGCAGGAGGGCGGCACAGGATATGGGTATGTGAAGTAGGGGTCAGGAGACAGGGGCAGAGGGTTGGGGAAAGGAGGGGTTGAGGTGCCAGCGGCAAGCTCTGGCCAGGAGACTTACCAGCCAGCAGCCCATTCCTGAATCAGCCTCTCTGCCTGCCCCACCCCCACACAGGCTGCAGCCACGAGCCTCTTGTGTTTCATGGCTGCCTGTTATTGAAACAGGCAGATCCTGCTGGCTAGTTTCTGGCCAGAAGCCGGCCAATGGGATTGTGCTGGGGTCAGGAGCAGCTCCTAAAGCTTTTTCCCCTCCCTCCTGGGCTCAGTTTTTAAAGTGAAACAGCCCCACAGTCACATTTCTGAGCAGTGTGTGGGTGGGGCAAGACAAGTGGGGAGCCTGCACAGAGCTCAGGCTCCCCATTTGTCTTGCCCCACCCACACACTCCACGGGGCTCTCCGCAGCAACACGGGGCTCCCAGCAGCAACCACAGGCCAGATCCAGTAGCTTGGCAGGATGGATCTGGCCCATGGATAGGGTTGCCAGATTATTTCAGAAAAAATACAGAAAAAAAGGACCCGGAGAGTTGGTAAGCAATGCCCCCCTCAAAAAAACCCACAAAACCACAACAATGTGGCCCCTTTAAAAACCATGTGGTGAGGCTTTTTAGCCCTAACAGGCTGCCAGCGGCTGCCCACCATCTTGCCTCCCTGCACAGGGCCGGACAGCTCCCCTGCAGAACCTGGTAAGCACTAGGGTTGCCAGACAGCCCAGGATTTTTTGCCTCCTGGCTGGGAAAAAAATCAGAAAGTACCAGACATTTTAACTGTCTGGTATTTTCTGAATTTTTTTACTGGACAGGAGGCAAAAATACCAGACTGTCCGGTTCAATACTGGACACCCGGCAACCCTACCCATTGGCCGTATTTTGCCCAGGCCTACCTTAATGGGTCCCCTTAACCTGAGCAGATTTTAGATTTCTCCCACATTTGCCCTTGGAGGCATCATGACTTCGAATCACATAGCTCTTGCTGAGGTGCACATGGTGCTCTTGCTCCCTCACTGCTTATAGAAATATGGCTATGCTAAGAAATGACTAAAATCTCATTTCCATACCTCTCTGATAGCTGTACAAAACTCACTCTGCAGTACTTTCTTTAGGGACTGTAACTTGTGCACTGGTACTTCTCCAGACTCTTGCAGTTTCTCCAGTAATTCAATTGCTCTGGCAACATCTGAAGGGATAAAAATAGGAATAAAGTTCAAAAAAGCAGAAATTTGACATGTAATAATGTCTGTTCCAAATAAGTTTTCAGTACATAATCAGCTTTGTCACTGCTTAGTCTTTGTGTTTATAATTCTTTAACAGACAAGATAAAGTTCATTTTTGCACATAAACCACTTGATATGTACATGTTACCTTAAATTAATATATGTGCATATATTGCTATTTAGAAATCTGAATCCTTCAATACTGATATTATATGAATATTTATCAATTTACAAGTACCCTCTTCTAAAATGTGGATATCAGTAGAATCAGATAATATACAGTAGTATGCTTAAAACAGTTAGTAATACATAACTGCTATCTTCTGCATTATCAAGAGCAGCACCAAAGATTTATGGGGGCTCACTTTTAAAGGGTCTGAGTTAAAACGAGTCCTTATATAAGTCCACCTGCTATGATAATGGATGAGGGAATTTCTTTGTACAAATCTGGAACTACATGCTAATATTTTATTCAAGAATTTCTTTGCATGTTGCTAGAAGAAGGCTCATCTAGTGCTCAGAGCACTTGCCCAGGGATCTGAAGAGCCACAACTCCCTGCTTTCTCATGTACTTCCTGGATGACTGTGGCAAAATCAATCAGCTTTTCTGCCTTGGTTCATCATCTGTAAAATGGGGATAATAGCACTTCTCTCTCTCTCTCTCTCTCTCTCTCACAAGCATGTTGTCAGGATAAATATATTACGGATAATGAGATGTTCAGATAATGTGGTGATGGGGGGTGATATAAGCATGATAAATTCTATGTATTACTTGATGGATAATATCCACTGGTCAACTGAGGGAGGTAAGTCAGTCTATTTAGCTGAAAAGCGCTTTTTTTGCAAGTGTTTCCCCAAAAATTCCTATTGGTGACCACCCAGGATTACACTAGTATGGATTTATTGTTAAACTAAAGATGATAGAGCTGTCACTAAAGGTATAAACTAAAGAGGGAACCAGCTCTTTCTCTCTCACCCACAAACCAACACACACCACACACTTCATTCACTCACTCAGGTACTCAAACACTTACACAGACATATGGGTTGCAGAAGGAGCCAAGGCATGTACTATCTGCTGATCAGGCAGGGAACTGGTCAGGAAAGAAACTGCATACTTCTTTTAAGAAAGAAAGAAAGAAAGAGGATTTTTGCCATGTGCTCTCTCTTTTTATTGCCTTTGTGCAAACCCTGTGACTCCCTGGTCACCAGGGAGCATGCCCAGACATCCCTTGATCCAGCAGAGCAGCAGTCTCCTTAAGGGATGCATCTGACGAAGTGGATCTTTGCCCATGAAAGCTTATGTTCCAATGCCATCTGCTGGTCTATAAGGTGCCACAGGACTCCTTGTTGCTTTTACAGATACTAACACGGCTACCTCTCTGATACTTAAGTGGTCTGATGACTTATCACCTGGCTCCATGTGCTCAGCCTTGCATTTTCTAATCCCCTAAACACACTCACACATTCATATCTCAGGGGAAAATGAATCTTAGAGCAAGTTACAAGCAAAGTGGCTGAGAGTTACAAAGATTACAAAGTTGCAAGGCTCAATCACCAAGCTTACAGTAAGTTTCTAAACTTATAAAGCAAAGTTGTTGAGAGTTACAAGGTTCTACAAAAATTACAGAGTTGCAAGGTTTAAAATCACAAGGAGTTGCAGAGTTTAAAAGGCAATGCAGTTGAAACAATTACATAACTTCTGAGAATTATTTACAAATTAACAGTAATGAAGTGACTTAGAAGACAACTCCCCCCTCCCCATAGCAATGCAGTCAGCAGGAGGTTTTTGTCAGTCTAAGTTAACTATTGGCAGGACCTTACAGTTTAGTCTGTTTCCAGAAAATCCATGTGTAATAGCTTGGGCGGAGGCTTTTCTGCAACAGCAAGAGTTAACTGAAACAAGCAACTGAGATATAAGGGGTGGAGGCTATTGTGGAAGCTGTAGCATAGGCATAGGCTCAGATTATTTTACTACTACAACATGTAAGCCTACGTAACAGCTTCTGCTGTGGGAGCTGCATTGGAGGTGAATTACAGGCACAAAATTTGCTGATGTGGATGACACTTGGCATCATTGTGAAGCTCTCTCTCTTGATAGTGTGGTCAATCCCATTGCCTGTAATGTAGACTTATTTGCTGTTCTACCAGCAGTACTGCTAGTCAACTACCAGAATACTAAAAAGATTATCATGTAGTCATACAGTGACTGAGTATACAATACTATATCAATGCAAAATATTTGAAGCATTTTAAATGTGATTTAACTGCATTTAAAAATTAAATTTTATATTGACTTGAAATTACCTTAAATAACCCTCCTTACCAATGACAGAGATTTTAGTGTTTGTGACTGGGAGATTACACTAATTGAAATAATTCTTAGAATTTTCATCTTGCAGTTTAGCCCTTCTGATGTCCTAGTTGGCACAGACATGAGAAGCTATTGAGAAATGGGGAAAGGATGGCTTCAGAGGAGTGGTTTAAAGTATAATTTTTAATACTCATAATAATAAAGAATGCAAAGAATAAATAGCAAAACCGTCTTTCTCAAAATGAAATACCTCCAAAAATGACTATTTACTAGATTCATAATTTTGACATTTCCCATTTACGTCATGAGGTTCACAATTTTTAGATTTTCAGTCCTCATTCATTGGTCCCAGCTTCAGCTGCTGAGCTCTGTGCAGACAGTACAAAGCAGACGAAAGGCTACATTTGAGAACTGCCCGCTATTCTGCTGGCATAACAGTTCTGATTGGACCTCTGAAGTTGATATAGCTTAGAACAATCCTTCAGCTGCTCTAAATTACAAGGATTTTGTTTTTTTTATTCTGATTATCCTAGTTTAGAGCTTCCTTCCCAGCCCTCCTCCCAAATTACACTGAGCAGAAGCACAGTGCAGCTGCTGGCTGATCCCCTACCATTTTATGTGCACTTAGCTGTTTTACTCCTATTCCTGTGAATTCTTTACTTCTCCCCATGTTCACTATGGTCCTGATCCCAAACCCATTAAATTCAGTGAAAAGGCTCCCTTTCACATAATGTTCATTTAACACCCTGATTTGGGAAGGCATCCCTATTTTTAAAGCATATGCTTAAATACAGCGAGGCACACTTTTTGGGGTTTTTTTTGTCCTATTAAAAATCAACAGTTTTAAAGTTCAGGCTTAAAGCCTGAACATGTACTTAAGCACCCAACTGAATTGGGACCTACATTATGCACATTATAATTAATTATATTTAGAAGTCGGATAAATTTGCATTTAGTATTGTGATATATTCCAAAGAGAGGAATATGATAGTACAAATGATAAATTCATGCTCTCTGCTGTGAAATCAAGAGGAGGTGAGAGCGTGAATTTTAAGGCAAAACAGAATACCAAGCTATCATTTGCTGAAGTGGGTATCTCCAATTTTCTAACAGAGTAGTTGTGCATGAATAAACAAAAATTCAGGCAGCACCCCATGAAAATGCTAATAAAGCAAAGCTTGTGATTATTCTTAAATAATAAAAACTACCAACAGTAATTTTACCACTTGATATGTTACATATATTTTGTATTATCTTAGTGTCTAGTAGTGGTAACCATGAGTTTTCACTATCTTGCTTACTATAAAAATCATGAGTACTTTACTTTCTCCCTGCTTTATTAAGTGAATATAATATAGTATGTGTATGTAGATGGTGCTCCTGCAGAGGTTTTCAAACCACAGCCACTATACATTTTTTCTTGATTCACACCTTCACTGTGTGAGTACTTACAGTTGTATTTGTAGTAATAAAGAATCCAAATGCAAATTAGGAAGACAGTATAAGCTTTATTAAAAAAATGTAATTTAACAGCAGGAGCAAGGACCTGCAGTGAGAGAATAAGGCCCGAGTTGATAATCTAAGATGCAGAGAACAAATTCATAATGATCACAGACTCTCACCCATACAACCCTCTCCATCAAGGCTATAAAGTTCCAAGCATTACTTTATTTGAACAAAAATTGTCCTTATGGCTGATCAGTCATCCCTAAAGCAAGATACCTCCTGTCGAGCAATTTCTCAGAGCTGTAAACCCTGCCACTGAAACCTTTCTGAAGATAACATTTTGAACTTGTGGTGTGTGTGTTATTTGTCATGATTTAAAACACAAGATGTTCACTAATTTAGCAAATACAGTTTTAAAATATATAAGCACTATTTTTCTAAAATGAAAGTTTAAGAAATGCATATATATATTTCAAAAGATGAAACTCAAAGTCTTAGATACAGTGAAAGCTACAGTGAAAGTTGAAGTATAATTTTCTGTAGGTTTGGGATGCAGAAAACAATACATTGTTTATCCCTTGGCCCCACGAGTTGGAAGATTTCCCAAAACAAGCAGCAAGTAAATAAATGATTCCATTTAATTTATTGATTCTGACATCATCATATAATATAACACTGGGAGTTTCAATTTGCATGGAACATAAGGAAATCCCAGTGTTCCGAAAATATGAGAGGCTATCAAGTCCTTCTTACAATGATATTTTTTAAAAAATTATAATTTTCCATGTTCCCAAATTCATCCTAACTCTAAAATAGATGTAGTGATTCAAGCTGTTGCTCTGATGTATTATCTCTCTGTCATGTTCATTAACTATGCATTAAATCCCTCCCCTTATCACTTCTGGTCCTAGTGATCTGACTCATTTGGAAGTGGCTTTAGGGATAATGTTCAAGGCAGAAGAATATATACAGCTTTGGAGGAGGATTAAATCCAAAAATGAAAATGAGGAATGTGCTCGTGGCCATTTCTGTTTGCTCAATGCACACACCTTTGTCATGAGCTTTATTCTAGTTCACAAGACAAAACAAGATTCAACACATGGTATAAGATATAGGCATGAAGTAAATATTACCCTCAAAAGAGTTTCAAATGTTGTACTGCTTTCCAGTGATATGCTTGTTGAGGAGCGGCTTAGGTAAATACTTGCTCTAAAACAGGTTCAACAAGT